TCAGGGACACAGGAATTGTTAGACACAGAATTGTTACTCAGGGACACAGAATTGTTACTCAGGGACACAGAATTGTTACTCAGGGGAATTGTTACTCAGGGACACAGAATTGTTACTCAGGGACACAGAATTGTTACTCAGGGACACAGAATTGTTACTCAGGGACACAGAATTGTTACTGAGGGACAGGACACAGAATTGTTACTCAGGGACACAGAATTGTTACTCAGGGACACAGAATTGTTACTGAGAGGGTTACACAGAATTGTTACTCAGGGACAGACACAGAATTGTTACTCAGGGACACAGAATTGTTACTCAGGGACACAGAATTGTTACTCAGGGACACAGAATCATGGGAAAGACAACAGTATGAGGGACACAGAAATGTTACTCAGGGACACAGAATGTTTGTTACTCAGGGACACAGAATTGTTACTGAGGGACACAGAATTGTTACTCAGGGGACACAGAATTGTTACTCAGGGACAGACACAGAATTGTTACTCAGGGACACAGAATTGTTACTCAGGGACACAGAATTGTTACTCAGGGACAGACACAGAATTGTTACTCAGGGACACAGAATTGTTACTCAGGGACACAGAATCGTTACTGAGGGACACAGAATCGTTACTGAGGGACACAGAATTGTTACTCAGGGACACAGAATTGTTACTCAGGGACACAGAATTGTTACTGAGGGACACAGAATTGTTACTCAGGGACACAGAATCGTTGAATTAAAGAGTATTCAGACAACACGCAGAGGAGTGGCAGAGGAGGCAATGTTTCAGGAGCGAGCAGACGTGGCGTGGCAGCAGAGGAAGGGGTCGAGGCAGCACTAGTCGCAGCCAGAGGCCAGTGCTCCCGGTGTCATCCAGCGGTCGTGTCTCCACCGTCAACCCTGCCGTCATCGATTGGTTGGCTCGGTCGTCTTCCTCTTCCCAGGTCACCTCTGACACCTACAGCCAACGGTCGGTGGGTACGTCAGACACAACCGTTAGTTGGCATGGCCCGGGAGCAAGCCCACTGAAATCACGTGTCCTCTACCTGCCCCTGTCCTTTGGTGTTCCCTCACCAAGCGAAGTATCGCATGCTGTGGGCTCAGCCCCACTGTACAGTGAGGAAGAGCTAACAGAGGGCGGTCAGGAACGGGGGGAGACATCCGCCTCTTCAGCAGCCAGGCGAAGAAGTACTGGCGAGGAGAGTGGCTCGGTAGCCGGTCTAGAGACAGGTCTGTCTCCTGACCCACACGCAGCCGAGGGGGCTAGTAGTGAGGCGGAGACCCTAATTGATGATGATGAGGCTGATCGCACTTGGCAGCCTCGTCGTCATCTGCCAGGCCCATAATCTGCCATGGGCCCCCGTACCGACTCCTCATGCTGCTGCCAGGCCCGTAATCTGTCATGGGCCCCTGTACCGCCTCCTCATGCTGCTGCCAGGTCCAGAGTGTGTCATGGGTCCCTGTACGGCCTCCCATTGCTGCTGTCTCCATCGCCACACTCTGCCATGTGCCACTTTCAGGTCTCCTCACACTGCTGGTGGGTTCCATTTTGTCATAGGGTGCTGGCAGATTACGGGCCTCCCATTGCTGCTGCCAGGCCCGTAATCTGTCATGGGCCCCTGTACCGCCTCCTCATGCTGCTGCCAGGTCCAGAGTGTGTCATGGGTCCCTGTACGGCCTCCCATTGCTGCTGTCTCCATCGCCACACTCTGCCATGTGCCACTTTCAGGTCTCCTCACACTGCTGGTGGGTTCCATTTTGTCATAGGGTGCTGGCAGATTACGGGCCTCCCATTGCTGCTGCCAGGCCCGTAATCTGTCATGGGCCCCTGTACCGCCTCCTCATGCTGCTGCCAGGTCCAGAGTGTGTCATGGGTCCCTGTACGGCCTCCCATTGCTGCTGTCTCCATCGCCACACTCTGCCATGTGCCACTTTCAGGTCTCCCTCACACTGCTGGTGGGTTACCATTTTGTCATAGGGTGCTGGCAGATTACGGGCCTCCCATTGCTGCTGCCAGGCCCGTAATCTGCCATGGGCCCCCGTACCGCCTCCTCATGCAGCTGCCAGGTCCAGAGTGTCTCATGGGTCCCTGTACGGCCTCCCATTGCTGCTGTCTCCATCGCCACACTCTGCCATGTGCCACTTTCAGGTCTCCTCCTCACACTGCTGGTGGGTTCCATTTTGTCATAGGGTGCTGTATGGCCTCCCATTGCTGCTGCCTCCACCGCCACACTGTGGCTCCACACTCTGGTTTTGGCCCCGTGACTGCCCCCAAATGAGTGAAGTGTGCGGTGATTCTAAGATCGACGGCACACATCTGCATGTCATACTGACTGACAGTATTATTTCTCTTCCCCAGCAGACTCCAAGGGCATTTAAATTAAAGGTACAGTGTTCTGCACTAATATAAAGGCTCTCTGAAGCCTAGAAACACCCTTTCTATAAGTTAAATTCGCAGCGAATATATTCGACTCGAATCGAATTTATTCCGCGAATTCGCCGAATCAGCCGAATCGAATTTTTGAATACTTCGCTCATCTCTAGTGTGGATGTATGTCATAACTCCGTTGTTTATGTATATTCTTTTTGATATATTGTAGACTGTATTGCGGTTGAAGCTTTCCTCTCTCCCTGAAGAAGTCCTTGTTGGGTGAGACATGTAGGGAATTACTGCAACAATACAGCCAAGCTTCAATTTTTTGTTTTTACAGTATTGTAATTATTTATTCTTTTTCTTTTCCCTTTTTTTGTAAGATTAAATACAATTTATTGTGGTTTTTAAATCTGTTTATCATTCTAAATTTGCACCCTGAAAATCCCACACTATCTAGTTCAACATTTTCAAAATTCCAGGGATGTGGTGCGATTTATACTGTATATCTTGTCACTCACTTGCCACTTCTTGACAATTTTTTATTTAAAACCTAGTTTTGTGATATACAGAAGCTCTAAATACTGTAGAACATAGGGTCATCCGCAAGGACTCCCTGGTCAAAATGTGAGTCTTCTACACACATTTCAAGGCACTTGGATAGGACATTCAGGGTGCCCCCCTCCCACTGTCCTCCTCAGGGTTCCCAGGTCAGACCTTTGACAACGCAGTTTTGGATACTTCTGTTTTTAAATAATTGTGGCTGATTTGCAAATGCTAGCAGAGTCAGTTTCAGTTATGGGGGATGTTGAGAGCAGCAGCATAGATTACCTGTGAGATGACAGATAAGATGATCTGAAGATGCTGTGCTGAAGTGTGCTGATACTTGGACAAGATGGTATCTGCTAGTGTCAACCTCAGCCCGTGAGAAAGGCTATCTGAAATATACATTACTGTCAGGGAAGCCTATCTAACTTCTAAATAATAAACTGTACTTTTACTTTCTCCATCAGCCCAGAGTTCTTACCATTTGTATCCCTTGACCCTCCCCTTCAGACAGAGCTGCTGTTAGAAACCACGGGGCCCCATACAGCCAACCTGACAGCCCCCCCAAAAAAAACAGTTTTACTATGCTTCAGTTATGAAATGTACACAGTTGGTGATTGGTATAGATCACTCATTGTGTTCATTCGGGAACAAAAGGGGCTGGTAAATGTGACATGTTTACCAGTCCCTTCCCGCACTCTACATCTTGCAGGATCTGATTGTGTGCTTGCAGCTGCCAACGGGAAGGAGAAGAGATAAGCTGGGAGCACTGCAGGGGTGGGAGCACACAGGGGGACCTAGGCATCAGGGGGAAACAAATGGTGAATATGGAGAGTGATGGGTGCAGGGAGAGGGGCAATTACGGGAACCAATCCTCTGTATGGCTCTCTCTTTCAGCTGCTGAAGATACAGCCATACAGGGGATTGGTTTCAGTAATTGCCCCCCCCCCTCCCCTGAGCTGATCACAATCCCTGCCCACATCGGATAGGCCCCCCTGCTGGACTGGCCCCCGTAAAGGAGGACTGGTGGTACCCCCTTATCCACGGCCCTGCTTTCAGACTGTAAGCTCTAACGAGCAGGGTTCTCTGATTGTGTTGTAATTGTATCCAAAAAAGTTTCACGCTTCACTAAAACAAATCCATATTTTACACCATAACTTAAATGTAATAATATTGCATATCTATAATCTCCAGTATTATAAAAATAAACAGTGAATTGACATCAGTATAAATGTCTAGTCCAAAAACAGTCCCATGCCAATGCCAATATAGACAAACTTTAATGGATAACATTGCTTCTTTCATCACCACTTTGTGCCAAAATGTTTTCCTTCTAATATGGTGACAAACACCCTCCACTAGATGTGCTCTCACCTGGAATATATGACCAAACCAATTAGTCAGGTCATATATTGCTTTTGTCCCTCATATAGGTCTAGTATATGTATTCCCAGTTGGGTCAGATGAATCCTTACTTTTTATAGATTCCACCTCTCCACCTTCTCCTATTGATCCTCCTCAGCCATACATGTATAGGGGAAAAATGATCAAAACATAGTGCTTTATCCTTTTAAAACGTTTATTAGCCTTACAAACAGCTTCCAATATTTATACCCGCATTCAAAAGGTTTCTAAGCACAGCACACTATTCCACACAGAGATGTACATCAAACTATATAGTATGCAGCCAGCTGATAGTTACCGCGTCGCAATAGACATCAAGCGTCATGTTGTCAAGCCCCTCCCCTACGTGTTACGCCACATGGCCACGTGGCTTCATCAGGGGGAAATGATTTGACGACACGGCGCTGCCTACTATATATAGGTAATCCAGGCGCCATATTCTATTTGTTCCCTATATTACAATTGGCGCTATTTTCTCGTGGCACACTAACCCTTACCCAGCGCCATTTTCTTGTGGCCATGGAATAGTGGGAATAGTGTGCTGCACTTAGACACCTTTTGAATGTGAGTGTAAATATTGGAAGCTGTAAGGCTAATAAACTTTTTAAAAGGATAAAGCAATATATATTTTGATCATTTTTACTTATGCATGTACGGCTGAGGAGGATCAATGAGAGAAGGTGGAGAGATGGAATCTTTAAGAAGTGAGGATTCATCTGACCCAACTGGGATTACATATACTAGTCCTAAACAGGGGCGGACTGACCATGAGGAAAAACTTGGGTACTGCCCGAGGGCCCAGGGTCAGTAGGGGGCCCCATGAGATGCCCCTGGTACCTTTTTCATAGGCTTTTTTTGAGTTTGGGCAAGGACACAGGGGCCCCATGATCCCCTATTGCTCGGGGGGCCCCCATGAGTTGTCAGTCCGCCCCTGGTCCTAAATGAGGGACAACAAGCGTTTATATGACCTGACTTAGCGGTTTGGTCATATAATCCAGGTGAGAGCACATCTGGTGGAGGGTGTTTGTCACCATATTGGATAGTAAAATGTTTAGGCACAAAGTGGGGATGAAAGAATGCAATGTTATTTCATTGAAGTTTGTCTATATTTGAAGAAGCCAACTAGTTGGCGTGGGACTGTTTCGGGACTGGACTTTATACTGATACCTATTCACTGTTTACCTCTATGATATTGGTGATTATAGATATTTAATATTATTACATTTAGATTATGGTGTAAAGTATGGATTTATTTTAGTGAAGCAAGACACTTTTAAGGATATATATATAGATATTAGCACATCTATATGAAGAGTTTGATTTGTGTGAGTGATTCACGGTTTATCATTCACTTATAGCAGCTCACAAGATTTACTGTGTTTATAATTCTGTTTTGTGACTGTACTGTCACCTTCAGTTTTGTATAGTGCTGTGCAAAACTGTTGGTGCTTAATTAATCCTGTATTTAGTAACAGTCATAATTTATACATCATTTCCTCTTATACTCGAAGAAGTGGACTTTGGTTCACAAAACGTTTGGCAGACTTCAGCAAATAATCAATAATAATCTATATATTGATTATGGATTATCATATGACATTATTCAAGAACATACAGTACAATGTGATCAGCATCTAAATAGTTTTTAACTGTTTTAAGACACTGGGATGGATTTACTAAAGGCAAATAATCTGTGCACTCTGCAAATGCAGTTGCTCCAGAGTTTAGTAAGAGGGGAAGCGTCAGTTTGCAAAGAATAAAAATGTAAAAATATTAATAAACAAATAAACAATAAGAAAAAAAAGTGTAAATATTAATAGTTAATAAAATAGAAAGGTACAAAAAAAAAAAACATCAGCAGGAAAACAATAATTAAATGGAGAATAACAAGTTAATTAGAGCTGGTTAGAGTAAAGTTAATCCCTTTGATCTGCAGATGAATCATGTAAAATATCGTATTGTCTCGATATTTTATTAACTTGTATTGATGAGAAATGTTCAGATAGAAAGTCCTTCCACTTCTTGCATAAACTCAAAAAGATGATATTTAATAATAATGTTGCATAAAATTAGAAATAAAATTATTGGCATACAGAATGTTTAAATAATGTCCTAAAAAAATATAGTTATGTTCTTGATAATAAGATTGTATATATGTATATGTGTGTGTAGTGTGTAAGGCTTCTAGCAAAGTGTGTCCTTAAAAAGTCTTTGTTCAAAAAGCACTACATAAATTGACGGACGCTATAATAAGTACCTGAAATAAACAAAAATACATATAACAGGACGCTACAATCTCCATTATTGGTCATGAGTCAAAACCTTGGTTTTCAAAACCAAAGAAAGGTTTTGTATCAACCCAGAGATGACAAAGGATTATGCCTTTGATCTTATCTCTATAAAATTGGAAATATGCGTAGCTGTTTTTTGTGTTGGCTTACTTCTTGTAGTGTAAGACTGATCTGCAGTAATACATACTGGTTTCAAACTTTTCTCAGTTCCTATGTTGAAAACATGAGGTACAAACTTCTCACTTACAGCTGTACAAACATGTGTTGGTATGTTTTCCTGAAAATGTCTTTTTGTTACTTCTATCTGTATGTGTTTGGATGATAGTGTTTTGTACCATATAGGATAATTTTCTGTTGAACCATTTTCCTCTAGGAGTTTTCAGTGATGAATCAGGTGTCTGTAATATGATATTACTGAATCTCACAATGTTTTCAGTTACCTTGACTGCAAAAGAAAACACTTAACAATTTTTTCATATGTGCATCAAAGTTTTTCTCCATATTTGTCAAAGTTCTTGAGAAGAAAAACCTATTATTTTCTGATTACCCATTGTTTTTAATTGTGACAAAGTTGCTGAGATTGCATTATTGGAAACATTGGTTTCTAAAACAAAAGGAATTTTACTACAAAACTCAACGGTATTTAATGTAGTAGCATTCTGCAAATCCCATTTCAATAGTTCAAAAGCTTCTTTCTCAGTTTGATCCCATTGGTCAAACACACCATCTTTTTGTTTCAAACGATCAAATAATGATCTAGACTTCTCTGCAAAATTGGGTATAAAATCTTTACAATGATTTACTTCGCTCAAAAACTGATGCAAAGCCTTGCGATTTGTTGGAATTAGATAAGCAGAAATAGTTCTAACTTTTTTTTTGCAACAACTGTCTCTGTCCATGACTAATTTGCATGTGAAGGAATTCCACCTGTCTTTTCATCAACTGAACTTTCTCTGTATTCAATTTCAATCCTGCTGTTTGTAACAACGTAAATATTTCAGACAAAAGAGTGATATGCTCAGTTATATTTTGTGTAGACAAGAGAAGCTTGTCTACATGCTGGACAATACATTCTGGCCTAGAGAATTTAGATAATATTTTTCCCAAATACTCATGAACAATTCCATCACTTAAATCTAAGCCTGGGGCTAATCTTGTGAATGTATATACGTTTCTTTGTTGAAGCTAAAAGCAAGTTTATATTGACAACTCTTAGCTAAGGGTACTGACAAATGGCTATTGGCGATTTCAAGTACTGAGAATATTTTGGCCTTGGCATCCAGATGTGACATTATGTTACAATCAGGAAGAATAGATTTGTTATTTGTGATGCATTTGTTCAATGTCCTGAAATCAACTGATAAAGAATATGAATTATCAGCTTTGATAGGCCAAATACAATTATTCACCACTGATTGTACTTTCTTTAAAATTCCTTGCTGTAAAAACTCATCTACAATGGAAGAAATTGGATTAATTGATTCTAATGGCAATTTGTATTGAGGTTGAGGCTTAGGGTCTCTACCTTCAATGTCAACTTCAAAATTTGTAAACAAACCTGCATCATTTTTGCTTTGACTCCAAAGTTCTTTATGTGATCTAACAATTGTCCCAATTCAAGATTGGTTCCTGTATGTGGCCATTTATGATCTGAAGACATGTCAGCAGTTGCTGTACAAATACTTCCAACATTACAGTACATGGGAAGAATCAATTGATGTTGATTTGGGCCTTCCACTTTCATCCAATAAATGTGGAGCAACATATTCCAACGGTAAAGAAGAAGAATCTCGATTTGATCCTGATTTAAATTTCGGCAATGGCAATAAACCACTCCTATTATTGACAACAGCACTGTTTACCATATTGTTTAAGCTGTTGTTAACTCTCAGTGAACTGATCTTTTTAACTTCTAAGGCATAAGGCAACTCAGACAGACTATTGTTGGAAACATGGAGGAGCAGATTGTTCGGAAATTATATTTTGGTCTTCTAATTCCAAAGCTTTTCTTTGTAAATCTAATTTATAATGAATACAATCTCTTTTCAAATGACCAAATCGTTTACAATAGAAACAAATAGTATTTCCTGTCTGCTCTGAGACTCTCATCCTGCCTGTGACGTGTTCATCATCATAACTGGGTGTGGCTAAGCACATGGTCTCTCTCTGTTCTCCATTTTGAACAATTAAACTTTCCTTCTTCTGATTGTTTAATTTAAGCCTTCTAAATGTATCTATAACTTTGGCTGCGTGATCTAAATCATTTTTTCCAGTAGCAATAATAAAAGATGCTGGATCAAGATACTTGAATTTTTTAACAAAAGCATTTACCATAGAAGGAGTCTCATTGTCTAAATTAAATATCATTTTGTATACTTTCGAAAATCTATTTTTAAATTCAAAAGGATCATCATTAATCGTAGCACTTAAGGAGTCTAAGATTTCCAAAGAAGGAGTTTCCTCTCCAGTAGTAAATATCAATAATTGACGTAGTCGGTCTGATGCATTGCTATGCATTTCCTCATCATCCTCAATATATGGCGTTTTTGATTAATCTACGTGCCATAACGCTGGGGAGCCATAAACAGAATAGAAAATTTCTTTGCTCCTGATTTAAACAAAAATTATTACAAAAATTTTCATAAACCTCCATGTTATAGAAAGCATCAGATTCCATATCATAGGCTGGCATATCCTTCAAAATTTTCATGAGCTGATCAAGGATTTTAAGATTAAGTTTTGCAGCTTTATCCCTTAATTTTCTCTTAAACATTTCTTCCTGATCTATAGGGTCTCCTTCTACAGACTGGATCTCTGGTACAAAAGATTTTTGTTTCTCTGCCTTAGTATTCACACAAATTCTTTTTACATCATTCTGCAGGTCAGATAACTGAATGTCTTTAGTTTGAATTACACTTTGCAGATCATCTATTTGCTGAGTCAAAATCTGGCAATTAGCACATACACTGCTCTGATCTTGCTTCATTACACAAGCAGCAGTCTTAGGAACATCAAAAAATCATGGCATTAAAAACATTAACTAACTTCATTACATTTCTAACTTGTTTGCTCAGTTTCTTAAAGGAAAACTTAGATTTTTCTATCTTAATATTAGCCTGTAAGCACTCATTATACATGTACCGCCAAAGTTCATCATCTTTAACAAATGTAGACAGATTCTTGAATTCTAACTTACTCTCTCTAGATAATTCATCAATAAAATCCATTACTTACCAATTAAGAAGGTCTTTCTTTACATAACGCGTCTTTTCTCTCTTGGCGGGAAATGACATCACCAAGGAACAGCGTTTCATGCAATTGCGCAAAATTCTCACCAATTCTGCATTTAGGTTCTCGATTATGCCGACGATTCATCTGTTGCAGACTTTTACTTCTCCTGAAAGCTTGATTTCATATTTTGTTGACTTACAAACATCTTCCCTCTCATCAAGGTGAAAGAGAAAAAAGTCAAAAATAATCGATTGTCGGAAACGAATCGAACTGGAGGCTCGCCACTGTAAAATATCGTATTGTCTCGATATTTTATTAACTTGTATTGATGAGAAATGTTCAGATAGAAAGTCCTTCCACTTCTTGCATAAACTCAAAAAGATGATTTAATAATAATTTTGCATAAAATTAGAAATAAAATAT